CAATCACGATGGTCTGGGTCATCACACAAGGATACTACAAAATTTGAACATAGATAAAAGAGCATGTAAAAGAGAAAGAAAAAGATTATTTGAAGATTTCAAAAATATCAAAATGAATTTGTTTGACCAATTACCTTCTTTCCTTGAGAGATTTTGGATTAAAATTAATCAAAGTTATGACTATTACATCTATGTTGAGGACTACGTTGGATTAGGTATTCTGTATAATTCCTTAACAGATTATTGGCAGAAGGAACTAGCAGACATCTAATATGATTTTGGTCTTAACGAACCATTATGGAGGTTCACAGTGAATCTTGAAGCTAGATGGCCAGCGTGATCACATAGAATCATAGTCTACTATACCAGTATTTATTTTGATTTTGCATATTATGTGATGAACACCTTTGATTATGTTTTAATATGAAAATATATGTTTTATCCTATTCTGGATAGGTGTGTTGTTATTCTTTTATGCATTATCATATGGTGTTAATTATTAGATATGTAAATCCTTGCAATTATGGCCAAAAATATATTAGGATACACATTAAGAAATTAATGTCAATTTTTGATTAATATTTAATTTGTAGATGATGATTGGATGTTTATGTGTCTTTTCAATTTTACATTAATATGAAACCTTTATGAGAATTAATTTGCTTAAATGTGTATGTCACATGCAAAATTGATTTAGAATTCTCGCCTGATTATATCTCAATACAGACATGACATCAAAAAGTATCATTGTTGACTTAAACAAATGTGAAAAACTTAATGGTGACAATTACGACATATGGATATGGTATGTACTGGAAGAGCAAAATGCTCTGAAAGGTATAAATCATGTTTTGAATCAACCAGAAAAGGGTAATACTGCACAACACATAAGGGATCTTGAAGCTTACAAAGCTTGAAAAAAGGCTAACTCCACTGCATGTGGAATAATAGTTAGTTCTATAGTTGATGACCTCATACGTGAATGTGAGGAATTTCCTAATGCTCATGCTATGTGGTCACATCTGCGATGAACGTATGGGGGTAGGTCTGTAACCCGCCTCCAATAGTTGACTACCAAATTAGACACTTACAAAAAGCGTCATGATCAGAATATCAAACAACACCTGAGGGTGATGTCAAACATGATAGCTCAACTCAAGAGTGCTCGCCATGCTCTTTCAGATGAGCAATAAGTTCAGGCAATGATTCGATCTCTTCCCAATAATTGGGAACATTTAAAGGTTAACTTGACCCATAATGATAACATCAAAACTTTTTCCGATGTTGCACGCCATGTTGAACTTGAAGATGAGCGCCTTGGTGCTGCTAAAGCTTTTTCTAATGACTTTGTGTCAGAGTCAAGTGGTACAAAATCTTCAGGCTTCAAGCGCAAGAAAAATTGGAAAAGAAATGGGAAAGACAAAGAGACTGGGGAAGGACCCTCTAAGAAAATGAAGAAGCCAAACTCCAAAAAAGGAAAACAGTTTTTCAAGAAGAGAGACAAGAGTAAAATGAAGTGCTACAATTGCCAAAAATCGGGGCATTTTGCTCGTGAATGTACCAAGCCCAAAAAGGTAGCATTTCTAAACGCATCTCTAAGTGCTACATATGTTTCTAGCACTTCTTTACTAACTGAATCTTATACTATGTGGATTGTAGACTCAAGATCCACCGACCACGTGAGTTGAGATAGAGAGGCGTTTGTGGAGTTTCATCGAGTTTCATCTAAATCAAGGTGGATCTACGTAGGAAATAATGATAGGCTTGAAGTCAAAGGTATAGGCACTTGCAAAGTGGACTTGCATGGTGGTCGTTGATGAGTCCACGATTTAGACTGATTTAGGGCTTTATTTGGATAGATTTTGTATCCTCAAATGCTTGTTTTGTGCCAATAACTGATGTAAAACCCTTGATTACCAGGTATTTGAATTGAGGAACAAAGCATGGACACTAACTTGCAAAAAAGGAACGAAGCGAGCTGAAAGAGCGAAGAAATGAAGGCCTGGTGATCACCAAGTCCCTTTGGCGAGTTGCCTAATGACCTTTGACCGCCTAAAGTTCAGTGTGCTAAGCCCTGAAGGAGAAAATCTATTTGGCGATAGAAAGGAGCAGTTAGCGTGTCACCAAGTGGTTTCGCGATGCAGTGTTAGATCACCCAAAGTTACAGAACTTGAGGATGGTGAAGGCCAAAGCAGAAAGGCGATGAACTTGGCCAAAGGGCGGATCACCTAGTTGATCAACGATCCCGACTTACTGCGCCGAATGGTCCTTCGCAACATATTTTTGGCTACTATAAATACATTTTCAAACATTAATCTTAGGACCTTTTATCATAATCTTAGAAAAAAATTAGAATTTCAGTTTTGAACTCTGAGTATTGAGACTAAATTTTTCCTTATCTTTAAAGAATTGAAGTTTTCCATTTTTGAGAAATTGGAAGTGGGTCTTTGAGATTCTTCAACTTGTACCTTTGTAAATATGAAATTAATCTTACCCAGTTGATGGAAACACAATTTGGTAACGATTTCTATCTTTTTATGATGTCTAGCTAAAACCCTAATTCTTGGGGTGTGATTATGCGATTATGGGTTGATTTAGCTTGTGGGTATTGCTAATTGTTTAGTTTAAATATTGTTTAGAACTGATTTCATTCAGTAATTGTGGTTTAATTTAAAGGGTTGTAGTTGCAAATGCAACTCTACCTTCGTGTTTTTGGCTTGCTCGAGAGAGAGGTTTTAAAACCAAGATTACTGAATTGATGGTCTGTGGGTATTGGGTTGTCATGGGTTCAGCTCGAGAGAGTGAATCCTAAATCCTTTTCCACACATTCAGCTCGAGAGAGTGAACAGACTAAAGCGAAGACTGTTCTTATTTGCATGATTGTTGGTGTTTGAGAGAAACCAACTTGATTCGGGGTAAATTGTTCAGGAGAAAGTTTATCCCCACTAAACTCTAACTTATTCACTGATTTACAGCTATTTACTAATAGTTGCAATCACCCATTTGTCTATATTAGCCTATAATCAAATCACATCCCAAGAACCCGTCTCATTATTTGTTAATTCGTGTTATTTGTTGTTGTTGTAGCTGATAGTTAAAACCAAAACCCCCTTATTTGACATTCGTGTCACCCCTTAATTTGAATTATGTTGTTGAAATTGTTGTGCTGCACCTTTTTTGTCCTAATATTTGGTATGCTTGCTTTGTCCATGTTTAGAATTGTTTTAGCATTTATTGGTAACTCCTGGAAATTATTAAAGTGAATCAGCTGCTCACCTGCAAAATTAGAAGCTAGATTAGTTAAAAAATCAGCTAGTTGGTTTCCTTCTCTATAGGTGTGCACCACAGTAACATCTTTATTCTCCAGCTCTCTCTTCATAGCCCTTGTCTCTTCTGAGATTACCCATGGTACTTCCCATATGCCATCCAAGATTTTCTTAATCACCAAGGAGTCTGTCTCCATAATAAGGGGAGTATAATTTTGATTCAAACAATAGAGGAGCCCTTCTTTAAAAGCCTGAACTTCTGCCTCTAAGGTTGTGCATAGATCTAACCTTCTTGCTTGTGCTACAACCAAGTCACCCCTCTCATCCCTTACACAGAAAGCTGTAGTGCTGATGTTCAAGTTACCTTTAGAGGATCTATCTGTATTGCATTTAAAGCTACCCACTACAGGGAATATCCACCTTACAATTGTGTTGTGGATTAGAGGTGTGTAGGCTTCCAGAAATTGAACTATAAGAGGCCAATAATTAGGCATGCCTACAAGCCAAGGATACCTGTATTTAGCCATCAGAGATAAGTTTTTGTTGACCTCCATTATCATAGAGTATTGAGACATCTTGCCTCCATGTCTTATCACATTTCTCCTCTTCCAAAGTTGCCATAAAATGAAGGCAGGAACTGCCTTATACAAGGGTCTTAACTTGGGGACACATTCCCCTTCCCACCATTTATATATGGTCTGTCTTAGCTGAACAAATGGACCATGTAGCCCTGCTGCACCTGCAAACCACTGCCATAGGAATTTAGCATTAGGGCTTGAGAAAAATAGATGGTTGAAGGATTCTGAAGCATTATCATCACAACAACAATAGATCATTGAGTCAGTAATCCTATTCTTTACAAGGACCTCTCTAATAGGAATTCTCTGCAACCAAACTCTCCACAACAGGAAAGAGACTTTGAAGGGTATTCCTTTTTCCCAAATGTTCAGTATGCCTTCTTGAGGTTCTTTTCTGGTTCTCATAATCTCCCAAGCTGTGCCAACAGTAACTTCCCTTTAGGATTAGGCATCCACCATGGAAAATCTCTCTCTTATGATACTTTATAATTACCCAACACCTTTAGCACCTTGTGACAGATTTCCTCATTAAGCAGTTCCTTTAATAAATCAATATTCCATCTTCCATTTAGTGTAATTTGATTGATCTCTTCCAGATTGTTATCAAGACCATTACTGATAGGTAGAATATAGTACAAAGCACCCAATTGGGTCCAATTATCATACCATAAGCTTGACTGGCCACACCTAAGTTCCCACCAGATCTCTTGATCAATGCTATCCCTGGCCTGCAACATTCTCTTCCAAACCTGTGACCCTCCCTTCCATTCCACAGTTTGAGGTCTATGCCTCTTACAGTATTTATTCTATAAGAAGTTGGACCACAAGGAATTCTTAGTTCTAAAATTCCAGCACAGTTTAGCATATAATGCTTTGGAAACATCAAATAGGGACCTGAAGCCAAGACCACCTTCCTCCTTTGGCAAATAAATATCTTTCCAAGCCACCCAATGTTTTGTCCGTCCTTCATCTTTATAACTCCATAGGAATTTTACAAAGATACTATGAATCTCTTTAATAACACATATAGGAGGGACAATAACAGATAGAAGATACACATGTATACTTTGTAAAACATGAGAGATTAGAGCTGCTTTTCCCCCAAAGGATAATAATTTTCCTTTCCACAGTTGTAACCTATTTTGAACTTTTTTAATTAGATCCTTGAAGGGAATTCACCTTGAAGGATAATAATCTTCTGTTTAGCATGATCAATAGGACATCCTAAGTAAATTAAAGGGAATTCACCTTTAGTCAAACCCGTAGCTTCCTCAACCACTTGAGTATGATTGTTTGCTGCCTTGCTATACATATAGAATAAACTCTTATCCATGTTAATCTTCTGCCCAGATTGACATTCATAGTCTTTCAATAATCCCATAATCAAAAGTAAAGACTCTTTCTCAGCTGCAGCAAAAATAATAGTATCATCTGCATAAGCGAGATGATTTAGGTTGTCACTCCACTTAGGCATTCCATAGCCTTTGAACTCAGGATTATAGAATAAATTATTCAAGGTTCTCGATAGCACCTCAGCAACTATAATGAATAAAGCAGGGGATAACAGATCTCTTTGTTTTACCCCTATGGTAGAGTGAAAAAACCCATGAGCTTTACCATTAATGAGGATAGAGTACCAATTATTTGCAACACGTCTCCATAGCAAATCCACCACATTAGCATCAAAGCCCATCTTCTCTAATACTCTCACCAGAAACCTCCAATTAACTCTATCATAAGCTTTTGCCATGTCCAGCTTAATCACAACATTAGCAGGTTTTCCCCTTTTTCCAATATCACCTATTATTTCTTGTGCAAGAAGAACATTTTCAGAGATATTCCTACCTTTCACAAATCCAGACTAGTTTTGAGAAATCAGTCTTGGCAGAATACCTTATAATCTATTATGTAGAGTTCTTGAGATCACCTTGTTAATGAAGTTGCTCAAACTAATTGGTCTCAAGTATGAACAAGGTTTGAATCTGCTCCTTTTTGGGTATTAAAACCAAATTAGTATGGGTGATGGATTTGGGTAAGGTATTACCCCTAAAAAAAGCTTGCACCACACCTATAAGGTCTTCTCCAACAATCTCCCAACAAGTTTGATAGAAATAACATGTGAATCCATCTGGACCGCTAGTACTATCTCCATTCAATTCAAACACCACTTTCTTTATTTCTTCAGCATCAGGAATGACATTTAGAAAGCCATTAGCTTCAGCATCTATCAGGGGCTGAATGTGCTGCAACAAGGAGAAGTTAGAATCATTACCACTATCTGCAAACTGGTTCTGAAAGAAAGCTAGAGTCTCAGAAATAATGTCTTCTTCATTTTCAACCCATTCCCCATCTTCTTTAAGTAACCTTGTCAATGCTAATCTCTTCCTTCTTCCCTTTACTAAATAGTGGAAAAATCTAGTGTTCTTGTCCCCTTCTGTAAACCACTGAATACTTGCTTTTTGCCTCCAGAATTCCTCTTCATAGTGAAGATATTTTCTATACTCAGCTTGTGCTAGCTGAAGTACAGATCTATTAGCTATGGACAGATTTAGTTCAAACAGGTCCTCTTTCATCTTCATGATTTCCTCTCTAATTTTCAACTGCTTGAATATATCCCCAAACATGTCTCTACTCCATTTAGTAAGAGCATGTTTAGTCTTCTTTTGTCTCAGTTTCCATTGAACCGATACTCAACATTCCAGTTATCCTTCACCACTTCTTTACAATCATCTCTGCTGGTCCAAAACTTTCAAAACCTGAATGTTTTTATGGAGTTTTGAATAGTCCCCTTACAAGTAAAAAGGAGGGGTGCATGGTCAGATTCAGTCCTAGTAAGGTGTTGTATGTCCAGGTTGCCCATCAATTCCTGAAAAGCTTGGTTTGATACCACCCTGTCTAATCTTTTGAATATACACTCTTCATCAACTCTTCCATTCCACCAAGTAAAAAGACTCCCAGTAAAACTTATATCATCCAATTCACATGAGTTAACACAAAATGCAAAATCTTCATATTCTTGAGGAAATACAGCTAATCCTCCTATCTTCTCTTCCTCACTCAAGATAACATTGAAGTCACCCCCTACCATCCATGGCATGGAAAAATTGGAATTAATGGTATATAGAGAGTCCCATAATTCCAATCTTTCTTCAGCAGAGCATTTAGCATATATCACTGTTGTGAGAAACTGTTTGCCATCTTCCAAAGTTAGTTGTAATGTTATTTGTTGGTCAGTATCAGAGATCACTCCCACCTGAGTATGTTCTTTTACAAATACCCAAATTTTTCCATTAGCATTGTAATTGACATAATTCATTCCCAGTCTCCTCTTGTAAGTCTGAATTTGACTAGTGTCTTGAAAGGGTTCCATTAAAGCAATGAGAAAAAACTTGTGATGTCTGTGAAGCATTTGAACTCTATGAAAGGCATTTTGAGTTCTCACAGATCTAATATTCCAAAAGAGAGCCGTAATCATTTAGAATATATCTTCCCCACCCTCTTAGCTTGTATCCTTGTAGGTTTAAGATCTGCCTCCCTTTTACCTTTCCTTTTTTTAGACTTGGAAACAACTTGAGGGGATAAACTAGCTACCCTAGTGACCTCTTCTTCATTCATATCACTATTAACTTCTTCTTTGTCTTCTTGTAAAGATGAATTATCTTTATCTCCTTGGATTATTTGTGGCCTCTCCTCTTGTGCCTGGTGTGAGACCAGAGCATGCAACCTCTCCATAGGTGGAGATTTTAGTTCCCTGTTAACCAATGTATTGGATTCTGCTGCTGTTATAGTTAATAATTCTTGTGTTGCATCACTGATAGATGGGTAGTTCCCCTTAAGCATGTCACCAGTATCAATTTGAAGTGGGATGTGGTACTCCGCTTCTGCCAGTTCTTTCATCAAGAGGAGGTCTGTTTCTTCATCCTTATTTGCTGATACCCCCAGAGATGAACCACCTTCCACTTCATTTTCCCCCTTTCTTCATGCTCAGTTGGATTTATCATGTCTTCTGTTTTAGCATATTTTATAGTAGATTTGCACATATCTTCCTTCTCCCCTGTACTTCTATCATCTGGCTGTTGTTGGTACTGATTTAAATTGGTCTTATAAATAAATTTCTCCATCTCCATGTTATTATTATGCTTCCCTTCATGTATCTCCATCTGATTCTTTCTATCTTCATTATTCACAAGTGTTGCTATTGATGTGTTGTGATCCCTTGTAGCCACTTCATTTAATTGTTGTTGTTGAGAACAATCTTTCAACACCTTGTTCAATTTCCCTTCCCCTTCCTCCCCAGTATTTGTGAATGTTTTTGAGATCCATTCCTTTGTTAAGGAGTATTGTTGATCCCTTTTTCTATTAGATTTGTGTATGTCATGATGTATCCTCTTCTTTTCAGCTCCTGTCCCCTCTTCACCTTGTTCCTTTTTGGCAGTATCAAGTGCTGCAAGAGCATTGACAAATGTAACCTCTGCTGCATCAGTTTGAATGTGAATATGTGAGCGTTCCACAGTATGGCCATCGCTGGTAAACCTCCTGTTGGTAGGATTCCAGTAGCTACGAATTACCCTTCTTTTCCTTGTTGTATCAAGATTGGTATTTTCCGCCGTTTCCTTAGCACTTGCTGTACAAAGTATTTCAGTTACATCAACTTTCTTTAGTTCCGGATGTAGGACTCTACATTCATCTTCCACATGACCCTGAACTTTACACCTCATACAGTACTTAGGCAACCTATCATATTGAACTTTCACCTGCTCCATTCTTGATTTTTTTGTATGCTCATTGATAATCTCCATCTCCACGTGCTTCAGAAAATTGAACAAAAGGTCAACTTGTACTTTGACCCTAGCACAACTAGGTCTAGTTTTGTTGATTGTAGCCATGTCAAGTTGGAGTGGCTTTCCCACTGTTGAGGCAATAGAAAATAATGCTTCTTTCACAAAAAAAGTTGGCTTAAGATCAGGAAAGGAAATCCATGCCATAGCTTGCGTTGTTTCATCATCCACTCTAAACTTAGCATCATAGATTAGAGGCCTCATAGGATAAGAGTATCCGTCCTTAGCCAATATGTAATAGATGCTTTTCGACATTAGATTGATAAAATCTTCCTGCTGATCAAGAAGAATAAGTATATGCCTATTTCTTAATAGTCCGATCTTGCTGTCTCCTTTGATGTTGCATTGTCTAGGAATTAGTGATCTATGTTCCTTTAGTATGGGCCACCAATACGAAAATTTCCCAATCACTGCAAATTGTAGGTTTTCAATCGTATTCATACGATCGACTTCATCCTCCGTCCACACTATTCTAGGTATCCCATTGGTATATGATACATATTTCATTGGAATAGGCTCCACCCAGCAGGAATCGAAGACTTAATGGTTTGCCCTTTGAGTACATTAGCATAATTGACACTTGCAGGGGGAATTTCCGTAGGCAAATCAGTAGGCACGATAGGTAATCTCGAGGTATGATCTGTAGGCAATTTATTGGGGTTTAACGGTGGAAAATTTGAATCTTGTAGCAATGTCATCTGATCAGCCTCAAGAGCAGTCTGACCAATGGCCAGAATGGCCATGGTCGGAGATTATGGTAGCAAAATTAGTAGGCACGACAGGTAATTTTTATTGCATTTTTTTCCTTGAATTTTTCTTTTTAAGCATTAGCTATTGAAGAGTTTATTATTTTTCCTATTTTATTTCACCATTTTTTTCTATTTCCTTCAAAATTAACATTAGTTATTATTTGGCGGTAGTTCAATGTTTGTATAATTGGTAACATCTTTTCTTTTCTTTTCTTTATTTTTTTTTAAAAGAAAATATAAGCTTAAAAGTTTTTCTTCTTATTGAGTTATCGATTTAGTAACGATGTAAGTTATTTTCTTAACGACTGAATCGATAATTTAGTAGTAATTTATTTAATTACAATTCTACCTTTAGTTAGCTTAGGCTTCAGTTCATTTCTCAATTCTATTTTTTCATAAAGAATGTTTCAAACAAAGATTACGATAAAAAAGATTATATAAAAGAAAATAAAAAAACGATTCTACTAAAAAAAATTAGGAAGAAAACTCTTTTTCTCTATATTTATGGACAAGATAATATGTTGCTAAGATTGTGAGATTATAATAATTTTTAATACTAAATATATATTGTATTTATTTGTTAAATCATGGTTAGAGATTTACTTTGGAAAATTAAATCTTAGCCATTTATTTTAACCTATGCCATGTGTCATTAATCCAAATAGAAACTTGGGGAAAATGGAGAGAAGGGAAATGGAGAGGAGCTGGGTAGCATAATATGTTCAGAAATGTTGTCTGAACAATTTCAGTATAATTTGAACCCTAAAGTAAAATATAAGTAACAAGATAATTATACACACTAAAAAGAAAAAAATAATAAGCAACCCAAGATTTCAAAAAGATAATATACACTGTAAATGTTTTGTAAATAGATATGAAAATTTACATATACCTAAATCATAAATGCATTATAATTTTTAATTATGTATTTATATAGCTGTTTAATGGCAGTAGTGGATGCAGGAGATCTCTGGAGTTGATGATTAAAGTTCTGGGCAACTACGAAAAAGTCTCAGGACAAGAGGTTAACAAGATGAAATCTAGTGTGTCACTTTCTAGCAAAGAACAATCTCAATCTAAACAAATGATTCAGGAGATCACTGGTATGACTTACAAAGGTCTACCAATCAAGTACTTGGGTTGCCCACTATATGAAGGGAGGAAGAACAATGCTTTATTCTCTGGAATGATGAGCAAAATACTTCACAAGATCAGGGGTTGGCAAACTAAATTTCTTTCAATAGGAGGAAGAAGTGTTTTGATTAATCATATACTGCTCTCGATTCCAGTATACACCCTAGCAGCAATCCATCCTCCTATTGGTGTGCTAAACCAAATGGAAAAAATGTTTAACAGATATCTTTGAGGTTGTTCGGGTGAGAAAAAGAAAATGCACTGGGCCTCTTGGAACTCGATGTGCTACCCATATGATGAAGGAGGTGTCTCATTCAGAAGACTTCAAGACATTTGTAAAGCTTTTACTACCAAACAGTGGTGGACCGTAAGGGCAACTAACTCTTTATGGAAGGAGTTTCTAATGGCTAAGTATTGCCAAAGGATACATCCTGTGATTAAGAGGTGGTACTCGGGAAACTCTCACTCTTGGAATGCTATGTGCAAAATCAAAAGTACTATGGATCAATATATACTGTGGAAAATAGGCAGAGGAGATGTCTCAGTATTGCAAGATAATTGGACAGGATTTGGAGCTCTCTGGCAATTTTTCCCTGATGATAGAAAACCAAGATAGCAAAAAATTTATGATATCTACGTCAATGGACAACGACATTGAGGAGGCTGGGACATTTTCATACCTAATCGTGTCATGGAGCATATTCATAGTATGAATGTAGATTTGAACTTGAATATCGATGATAGGCCTATTTGGACTCCAACGCAAAATGGTTCCTTCACAATGACCTCGGCTTGGGAAATTCAGAGGCAGAAGAATGATAAGAGCTGGTTTGATTCCAACACCTGGTGTAAGAAAGTGCCCCTCAAGATGAATTTCATCCTGTGGAGAGTAGTGAGAGACAG